CCAGACCAGGGCCAGAGATCAAACCTGCAACCCAGGTATGTGCCCTTGACCAGGAATTGAACCCATGATGCTTTGGTGCAAGAGCCAATGGTCTAATTACTGAGCCACACTAGCCAGGACCTAATAAATATTCTCAATATTCACTAATGGACTTGAGGCATTTGAGGTGAGGAGTGTCAAACAAGTCAAGTTTTTGCACTTGCTGTTCCCTCTATCTGGAATACTCTATCTCCAGGTTATTGCACATCTTGCTTAGATCTCATGTCACCAACCTACCGACTTGTTTATTTGTCCTTTGTTTACACACACACACACACACACAGTGCCTGGCAGATAGTGTATGATTAATATGTGTGGAGTGAATGGATGAGCTATGACAAAATATACATAAATAGAAGTAAGAGCTAAAGGAAAATATATAAATAAAAGTAATGGTAGTTGAAATGGGGAAATATGATATTTTTTCCTTTTTAGTTTCTGTAAATTCAGTATTGTTTCATTTAACAACAACAAAAACCACTCCATATACAAATAATTATCTATGTTGAAGTGGAATTAAAAAGCTATCGATAGTTACTTTATGGGGCTGCTGAAAATTTCTTTCTTCTCATGATGCTTTATCTTTTGGCTTTGTTGCTCTCGTATAAGCCTCTTTAGTAGGAATTTTCTAGAGGACCTTAAACAGAAGACGGCCCTGGCTGCCTGGCTTGTGTAACTCACTGCACTCCATTCTGCTGGACATTTTGCCAAGAGAACAACATCCTGAATGTTCCCCTGAGGCCCCTTTCAAAATCAGGCACACCTCAGAGACATTTGGGTTGGATTCCAAAACACCTCAGTAAAACAAACCAAACAAATTTTTGGTTTCCCAGTGTATAAAAGTTATATTTACACTAGACCAGGGTCGGCAAACTGCAGCTCATGAGCCACATGCAGCTCTTTAGCCCCTTGAGTGTGGCTCTTCCACAAAATACCACGTGTGGGTGCGCACGTACAGTGCGATTGAAACTTCATGGCCCACGGTATTTTGTGGACAAGCCACATTCAAGGGGCCAAAGAGCTGCATGTGGCTCGCGAGCCGCAGTTTGCCGACCTCTGCACTAGACTATAGTCTATAAGTGGGCAATAGCATTATGTCTAAAACATGTGCATACCTTAATTAAAAATACTTCATTGCTAAACCATTCTAACCACATGTGAGCCTTTAGGAATTGTCATCTGTTTGCTGGTGGAGAGTGTTACCTCCAATTTGTGAAATATGAAGTATCTGTGA